ATCTTCCCGACATGATTTGAATGCACAATTGTAATTCACTTTCTGTTATTGCAAGTTTTGGAGAACTCAAAACTCTAAATTATGATTCACTCAAAACAATGGGTCTCATTCACATACACATTTGTGCGTGTGAATGAGGCCCAAAGTGATTTGAGTTCACTTCTCTGATAGTTTATCATATTCAGAAACTCGAACACGTATGCATCATGGCATTGTGAACAACCACAAAAGACTCAGTACAAGATTTCAAATTCAATTAAGTTTATCCAGCAAAATGAGCTGACACATTTGTTGGTTAGCCACAAAATACATTACATACATGCATATACATTTTGGCCCATTTCATCAGGGCCTTGGAATGAAATATCTAAACAAAACAAACATGATTGACTGGTGTATTCCAGATGGGAACAATACAGTTTTTGTGAAATTCATGGTTTCTCTATTTATAGTAGCCTGGTTGCAACTGATCATCGAAAAATTATTTTAATATCTGTAGTCAGAAACATGGAATTCATTGTGATGGAGAGGGAGGCCAAAATCTCTCTCTCTCTCACACACACACACACACACACAGACACACACACACACACACACACACACACTCACACACAATAAAACACAGATCTTACTCAATTCTTTGCACAATCAATCATACTTTGCCTTCAATTATATAACCTTGACTTTTTGATTATGATAGTAACCTATAAAATATGTGAAGTGTTTGTTCAGTGCAAAGCAAAGCCAGCCAAACCTTCAGATCAGGTCAGGTTGGCTGGATGAGTTGGATTTGAAGAGCAGGAGGAGAGGTGATGTGCCACAGTTATTTTCTCAGACTGTTGTGTTGACCTGAAGCACAAGAGTTATTACAGTGGAAAGACTCAGGAAATGAGACCGAGAAAGAGGAAACTCGGCTGGCCTTAAAGATCATTCAAGTAGGGTGCTTTTGCACGAACTCTCTCCACAAGAGGAGAGAGATTTTAATAGAAAAGAAAACTGATATGTGTTGATTAAAACGTGTCCGTTAACATAAATATCACACAAATTATATACTGCAGTGTTAACTGTTTTCCATGTGCACTTGTAATGTTTTTTCCCCCATTGCGCCAGGAGAGGGCAGCAAACTGCACCGCTACAGCATCGGTTACTAATGGGTGTTGTAATGCAGTGTTTTCAGGGTAGCCTACTCCGTGTACCGTACCACCAACACAATTAATCTGCTTAGTTTTGTCATGCTTAAAGTTAACACATATAACAAATTTTAATGAAAATATTTTAAAACTAAATCAGCATTTCTAAAGGATCATGAGACAATGAAGACTGGATGGCTACTGAAAAGTCAGCTTGCCATCATGAATAAGAGAGTACACATACACACGGAGACATTTATAATTAATGAGGGTGTGTGATTCGTAATTTTGAACATGAGGTCTGCCTCTTACTGTGCAAGAAAGTCAGTGGCCGTTTCTCAATTAGCCTTCTTGTCTGTAACGTTGCTTGTGTTCTTGTGGACTTGTGAAACGTCATCAGTCGCGGCCCAGCCAAGTATTGTCCCAATACACAAGTTTTTATTTTTATTTTTTTATTCTCAATACACAAGTTTGCATTTTGGCAAGAACGGTTAAAAATTCGGATGTGACACTCACATTTTATCAAGGATGCGGTTGGTAACCTGTGAGCTTGACGGCAGAAATATCCCATCATTCATTTCGCCATTCAAGGAAGGAGCGGGAAGCAGAAAGAGGCAGGTCAATTTTAAGTTACGGCGTTTTTTTTACACAAACAAACAACATGAGACAGGTGTTGCTTTATTGTTATGAATATACATTACATTGTAGTGTATGTAGAGTAATCCCTTAGGCTGAGGGTAGGCTTGGGCGAGAAAGTCTGGCTGTTATCGTCAATAATTCTCAATATGTTTGGGCATTGCAGACGGCGTCTACGGGGGTACTATTGAGCAATACCAGCAAGAACACATCGTCTCAAACTGTCAGCAGCGTTCTGTGTGCTCGTCACCCCGTGAGTTCATTCTTCCAAGAACAACTAGCAAGAGCTTTCTTCCCAAGAACACAAGTACGTTCTTTGCATTCTTGGTTTAGAGAAACATGAGAGTTTTGGGGTTTTCACCGACATCACATTCTGGGCGGTAACCCGGATGAGCGGCCATTATGGAGGCACTCGGATGTAAACAACTGCATGGATTGCACTGTTTATGTACTACTGAACACATTGTTAAACTAAAAAAAAAAAAACCTTGGTAAGTGTGAAATCATATAGAGAAGGACTTACCAAGCAGGAGAGAGCGCAATATTTTGACAAGGTCCGAACGAGCTAGCTTCTCTAGCCCATACTGCAATTCTTCCTTGAGTGTGGATCATTTTAGATCAAATTCCAATCGGATTTGGAGAGACAGTGTGAATGTAGCCATAGTTAATCCGTTAACATTTTAGCCATAGTCAAACCTTCATTTACTCATGTGACTGATGAGCTGATGCTGATGAGCTGATGCCTCTCTCAACTACAAACGCCTTCTTTCATCATTTTTTTGCACTCTTCTCTTTAACTTTTGTCAGTCTATAGAACTCAAAAGGCATTTTCCCAATGCGACCGATTAGTACAGACCAAAACTCGACTATTTTTCAGCACAAATAATCAGCCAAATTTGCGAGTCCGTTCAGTTCAATGGCATTATTTATGTTCTGTGCCTCCAAAATGGCCGACTTCACTGCATACATGCACACACACGCATACAGTATAGTAGCTACCCTAATTATGTGCAATTAGCATAATTGTAGTATACATTAGCTGTCATTATGTTCAAAGTTCTGAATTTCCTTCTAATTATATGTTATTGTAATCTTCTTATTTTTAGATCTGTTATCTTTATAGACCAGCAAAATCTAGAATGTGTCATTCTGGTTCTCTTTATTTCCTACCATATCTGTGTGTGCTTGTGAGAGTGTTTGTATGCAGGATGATGGGCTTCTGAGCTCTAAGTATAGTCACAAAAGCAGTACTAAAGACAGCCATGTGCAGAGTTATTATTAGAGTCTTGGCAGTGTTTCCACAGCACATCTTTACACGGTTTGGCTTCAGTTCGGAGGGGCTCAGTCGGATCACATTCTGCTTTCTGCTGTCCTTCTCTTCTTTCACTCTTGCTGTCCACGAACATACACCATCACTGAAGAATCTGACTAGAAGAAAATCCAACCCAAATTTGTGTGTGGTTTGGGCTGCAATGAGAGAGAGAGCGAGCGAGAGAGAGAGAGAGAGAGAGAGAGACAGACTGACTTACATTTGTAATTGTATAAACGTGTGTTTTGACTCCAGGCCAGGTGAAGAGGGAATGAGCAGCAGACTCAGGAATGCGTATGTCTACTCTGCTCAGAAAAGCACACATATATATTATGGGCCACCCAAGTATGCATATCATGACACAGTCATTCATCTAACCTGGAAAATATCGAGGCTAAAATAAGCATGGAACTTGCACAGGTTCTGGACAAGTAACCAAAAGATCCAACTAAAAGGCTTCTTGTCTAATTTATAGTGGCTCAATTATATTAGTAATTAGCATGCAAGCTTTTTAGTAGAAAATAGAAATATATACAGTATGCTACTAGCTTTAGTAGAATATATTAAATATACAATTTAAATGTTTTTATTTTAGGCCTGCCAAATTTAATTTATATAAATATGTTTAAAGGTATTAAAGTTCTCTGGGTTTCAAATAAAAAGTTTTGAATTTTATACTGTGTATCTAAAATTAATTTCAGGGCATTTTATTTTGTTTTAGTTTTTTTAAAGTCATGAAAATATATTTGCAATTTAGTTGCTTTTTTAAATGTTTTATTTTGCTTTATTAATGATTTATATAATTTGTATTCCAGTAAATGAAAATGTTTTAATTTTAGTTTTTGTTCATAATAATATTATTTTAGTCCAAATTTTGCATGTTTTTGTTTTTATTTTTTTGCATTTATTTGATTTAAAAAATGATAATAAAACAGTATTAAATATTTTAGAGTTTATTTTTTAGAATTAAAAAAATTAAAGTTTACTATTGTAATATATTTTCAAATGTAATTTAACCTGTGATAGAAAAGCTGAATTTTCAGCATCATTACTCCAGTCTTTAGTCACATAAACCTTCAGAAATCATTCTAATATGCTGAGTTGCTGCTCAAGAAACATTTTGCTTAAAATTCAGCAATAGCCAGCTGCTTAAATTTTCTGCGGAAACCTTTTTTCCCCCCAGGATTATTAAAATAACAGTATTTATTTGAAAAATAACTGTTTGGTAACATTTGAAAAGTCTTTGTCACTTTGATCAATATAATGCATCCTTGCTGAATAAAAGTATTCATTTCTTAAAAAAAAAAAAAAAAAAATCTTACTGACCACAAACTTTTAAATGATGGTGTATATGATTATGCCAAGGGTAGGACAAAAACAGAGTTGAGTAACACTAAATTAGTTTAACATGTTCAGAGATTTCTGGAACACTCCACAGCCTCCTCCTCCTCCTCCTCAAGCCTTTGTTGTAAGTTTTAAAGTGGGCAGCTATTATGAATTATATCTGACAGCTTCTGTGTCGGTGCCCTGAGTCCAGCACAGCTGCCTTATTTGGGTTATTAGCTGCTTTTTATGCTTGCACCATGCCAAAATGTGTCATCCAGACTGGACAGGAAACAACAAGAGTGAATAACAGTAAAAGAATAAGAAAAGGAGGAGGATTAAGACGGAGGAGGACAGAAACCTGTTCTAAGAATCAGTGTGGTGTTGTGCAAGGGAGGCACAATAGATGATGAAATTGATGTACATAGGGTTGGAGAGGATTCGGCCGAATGGGAGGTAGATTCACGCAGCCAATGACAAGCCAGAAAGGTTGACTCATGAGTGGTTAGATGTTCCGTTCACAAAAGGTCCCAAAAGCCAAGTAGCTTGCAAAAACAAGCTACTTTTGTCAAAGGAAAGGAGAAAGAACAGAAAGATATCTTTACCATTTACTGCGGTGGCGTGGTTAACCTAATCTCAGGAACAAACCCGGTTTTAGGGGGAGGGGAAGAGAGGCCTGACTAAAAGAGAGACCCACAGAAAGACCTTCCCACCTGAGTGAAGACGCTTTAGTCTGGACAACAGCACTCTCTCGAAGGCTAAAGTCCACTTTAAACGAGACAAAAACAGACCATCGCCCTTCATAATTCATCATTAATGTGAAAGAGCATTCCAGAGGATCATACAAATTTGAAGCTGGGCAGCGAATCAAAGCTCTGGCACAACAAACCATAAGAAAGACAGGGATTTTGAAGGAGGGAGGGAGTATCGACAAGGAGAGTCACATTGACACAGGCTGTTGGAATATGAAGTCTCTTCCAAAGAACCAGGGACGAACCGATCAGATTTTGGGTGCTATGGCGGATATGCTGACATCTCTGGCGATACCCAATCAGAAGTGGGTGAGTAACTTGTTTGGCCTATCACCTTTGCACTTGTTCCCTTTGTAAACAATATTTATGCAACACATGACCATTGCACAATTATACCAATTGATATCTGTTTTCATTTTTGGTTGACTTGTTTTTTGTTTTTTTTCAAGCAAAGTTTGTTTTGATTATTGTGTGGTATTCACAAATAACTCTAAATGATGAGCGGCAGCTGGTCTTACGTGTTCAATCCACATGTATTTTAAATGTACTGTAACTTAGCGTGGTCGCAACCATAATTCATGGTGCAGAAATAGTCAGTTTCTGTTAATTTTGACTAAAGTCAAAGTTCTATTTTTCAAGTCATAAAACATAAGCAAACTATTTGCAAACATGCTCCAGAATATGTATTTGTTAATTTGAGCATAAGAAATGACAGATTGTGATGGGTGTCCTTAAATTACCCTTTATTTATGAACATTCATATTCAAAATTGTCTTAACAATAAAATCCATCAAAGGAAGAACACATGACAGATAGAAAAATAATGGAGGGATAAACAACAAAGTCAGTCAAAGAATGACAGAAAAACATTTGGGGAAACTATGCAAGAACAGAGTGACCAGTTTGCAGTGACACGAAAGATCCACTCCTGGGTGTTTTAGAGGAATTTAGAGCACTTGCAGGAGCAGGAAACTAGCACTGATTAAGACATTTCCTCATAAACACACATGCATGCAGTCTTCTTAAAACAGCTGTCAAGCAGTAGGTCTAACTGGCTCTTTACTGTTCTTTATTGGATTCAACATATAACATTTTTGTCCCCTCAATCATATCATTTTTTTCAAAATCACTCCAATGAACCTGTCACTCAAACTGTAAGACAACAAACAGGGGAATGATTGACAGGCAAAATATTTTGTTGTTTAACATATAATTTTGAATATTACCATCTTATTTAAAATTAACCCAATTTATAGCTATAAGTGGGTTTAAAACATAGACTGTATATATAGGCCTATATATATTTCTATGGTTTAACATACCACGTTTGTGTTTTTAGTTCCACTGCCCTTGCCAAAGTAAAGTCTGAGGAGGAAAACATTTGTGTGAGGAATGTTAAAACAACTTAGTAGAAAACCGTTTGCAAAGAACACACAAGTAATGTTATCTAAAATGTAACATTTCAATATCAGTCTATTGGATTTTTTTTAATCACTAAAATATTTTTACATTTTGCAGTTATGCCGAGTTCACACTGATTTTAGGCTCGCCGACAGGTTTTAGGAGATCACCGACAAATGCCCCAAATCATAGGCAAATCGGTGCTCGTTCACGTGAGTGACAGACAATCAGGCGGTGTGAGTTATCAAAGAGCGAGAGAATCGATGCCCGTGAGAAATTTGGCATGCTAAAGCCGAGTTCACTCTGCACGATTTTTAAAGTGGTAAGGTCACTGTTCTTTTCACACTGCACGACCTGGGAGCATTACGTTGCCGCTGTGTTCACACTGCACGATCTTTTATCTACACTAGTTCACTTTCTGTTAGTGTATTTAAGTGTCTTTCATACATATCTTTGTTCTTGCTGTGTGAAAAATCAATCGATAAACGCATTTGGCAAAGGAAGTGCATTTAAACTCCCTACGGCGCGTATTTAAGTGGGAGGCGCGTGTACACAAAGGGGAGTACGATTTGTCCGGGAGTCGGAATTCGGTACAACAATCTTTGTATCCGATTGGAATCTGCTCTTAAATGATGTCCACACTGTTTCACAACTGTTCAAAATTGAACAAGTTGATTTGATTTAGGATTTTTGATAGTTCAGGATTTTGAATCGCCGACAGGTCCAGATATTTAGTATGCCAAATATCTCAAAATGTATTATCATGTAACATACAATATTACTCTGAGCTTGTGCGTGTGACAGTAAGATTTAACATTACCGTACTATTGGTTGTATTTTGTAAATAAAATATCCCATGTGGCCTGTATCATATAGCTACATGCATTACCTTTGCAGCAAAAAAACCCTGCATGAAAATCAGTTCAGTATTCAGTGAGATATGATTCATTAAATGCGCTGACAGCTCATGTCACCCATAGACATCATAGATAGACGCCCTATTACGGTTCACACAAAAATATTAAGCAGGACAACAATGGTTATAATAAGAATGTTTCACGAGCACAACAATTAGCATATTAGAATGATTTCTTTAGGATCATGTGACATTGAAGACTGGAGTAATGGCTGCTCAAAATTAATCTTTGCCATCACTGGAATGAGATGTTGTTCTTCTAACAAAAATACACACATTTTATGTATAATTTGTGACTGTCTTTTTTTGGTCTTAGAACTCGGAGGGTATTGAGCACCTGAGTGTGAAGCAGGAACAGAAGACAGGACAACAACCCCCTTGGGACACAGAGGGACTGAACTGGGATGATATGTCACAGGACAGCCTGGAAAGAGTCCGTAGAAGAGACAGAGCAAGTAAGATGCAACAACCATATTTAGTCAAATGTATTAGCAGGTTAAATATACACAAAAAGAGTTGGTAGTGATGGAGCCAAGGCACGTTTAAAAACAAAACAAAAAACTAGGTAACAAGTGAGTGCATGCCAGCGTTGATGTAAGGCCATTTTCCTGTATAAAGCAGCTATCATTTCTGTTTTATCTACGCCTCTCTCCTGCCACATGTGATATCGGGAGTTGTTTTGTGCACAATATACTTAAAGGACAAGTTAGGTATTTTACACTTAAAGCCCTGTTTTAGATCGTTTCTGATTAAATAGAACGATTAAGATTGAAATTTGGACACATGTTGCTGGCCAGAGAATTTTTGGTTTCTGTTTTACCATTCGTTGTAAAATTGTGGAGTGTGGAGCTATTTTTCCAAACGCCTCACACCCGTACATTCTTCTGTTGAGAGCTTGAATAATAGAGTAGACACTCCAGCCCAGTTGGTGGCGATAATGCACCTTTGCCAATTGGAAGCAAACCACTGGCATTTCATTGAATACACAGAAGCAGAAGAATACAAACAACCCTATTTCCGTTTCCGGCGGCGGAGTAATACACTGATTTCACGCAGCCGCCATTTTGAAATGGCTCCGGTGGGAGCCTTTAATCATAAGAGAGTCGCATCATGTGTCCAAATTTCAATCTTAACCGTTCTATTTCGTCAGAAACGATCTTAAAACAGGGCTTTAAGTGTAAAATACCGAACTTGTCCTTTAATGACATAGTGAAATCCTTATTATGGTCTAAAACCATATGAAAAAGGCGTCTTTCTGCTGGACTCAACCCACAATACAAACAAACATTCGGGCCTACAGTGTTTAGTGTTTGCCAAATATTTACAAATACAGTTAACACTATCAGCATGCTTTGGGTTCTTACATGGAATTATAATGGTTTCATCATGGGCTGAAAATAACATCACCTAAGATTTAAAGCCTTAGTTTGATTTTCCCTGAAAAGTGTAAACACTGTGGCGCTATCAAAACATCGCTCTGTTTGTTTGACCATTCCGTTCAGCAGGACATTAATAACAGTGGCTGAACCAGTGGCATGAGTTTGGGGTTGGACTACCTGTTTGGCTGACCAATGGAAGACAGGGCATATATAAGCAGCCTGTTTGAAAACACTCAATGGGGGCTTCTCTAATTGATGTTTCCTCGCTCCTACAGTGCCAGATGCAGCATCTAAAAGCACACAGTAACACACAAGTAACATTTAGATGTTTCTTAAAATTCACAGCTAGCAAAAATGTGTGCTGTGCACAAGTCTTAAAGGTCTATAAAGGTGTGTAATAATTGTAATCAGAGAATATGGAAAAACAATTAGAACAAAATGTATTATTTGAAATTATGTTTAATCATTTTTAAACAATATAAATTTCTGCATAGCAAGAAAATGTTTAAAAAACAGACAAACAAACAAATAAAAAATACATTCTCCTCCAACTTTACATCAGCAAACAGTTTTAACAAATGCTTCACCTTTGCGCAAGTAAACCATGCATTTCATTTTTCACACAGTACTTCAACAGTGCATTTTTGCTTTATTAAGGTTTATTAAGTATGTTTTAACCAAACTTGACACAACAAAATTCCAGGTTATGGCTGTAGGTGGTGTATAAGTGACCTACTGAATTATTAAAACAAACGATTCATTTAAATAAAGTGATTTGTTTAGGACCGAAACAACTGACATCAGTGAGTCAGTTAATCATTCACTCAACCAATTTGTTCATGTCTAAAACGTAAGCTACTCATTATTAATTTCTCTTGTTCTTATTCACGTCTGTTCTTGTTCATGTCAGGTTAGTGGGCATCAATTCGGCCATATCACAACTTCAGTTTCATTTTTGTTGACGGCTGGATGCAATTACAATAGAAAAAAGTGCCACTTTTGTATATGTTATTATATTAACCGCAGTCCAACAATGAAAGCCCTTCTCTGTTGGATGCAGATAAGTGGAGGTAACAGAGCTCTTATCAGATTGGCTTTGTCTCAGGTCTAAACAGGTGGTTAATGAACCACACCCTGTAATTGTACTGCCTGAACTGATAATCAAACTTATTTAATCAAGTTGTATTGGGGAAACAATCTCTGCTAATCTTCCATGACGAAAACTGGATGAAAAGCTGCCCTGAACAGTTTCCAGATGGGAGACCCACTCTTAGCCCAATGTCTTGAAAAAAAGCAATACATGTTGCAGCTATGATTTTTTTAGAGTTAACTGGATTAAATTGAGTCCTTCAGAACAGAAAGAGCTTTGAAATGGGATGGGGTGGTATGTATCATGTAGCCAAATTCCTAACTGTTCAAGATGTGGTGTATAGGAAACCAAGGAGCCTAGGTTGTTTGTCTCAAATGAGTCTCCTTAGATGAATTGCAGTGTCAAAGCTGTTGCTTGTAAATATTAGTTTAAGCCATACCAAGCACAAGCGGCATTGCCCATTTAATCAGGGTTGCCTCCTTATATAAGTTTACTAATTTTGTTTACTTTTATGTTGTGAATTTGGGGTTTTCATGCCCAAGCGATGATCCAAATAATAACTCCAAAAAAGGAAAGTTCAGTCAAAACTGATTTGGAATGACCATCATAAAAATCATTCCAAACCTGTACGACTCTCTTTTATGGAGCACAAGAGAAGCTCTGAGGATGTTTTAGCACTTGCAATTACAATAAACAAGGACTAAAGCGTCCACGCTTTAATAAAGAATGCAAAAGCACCATAAACTCAATGTCATAAGCACCAAAAACAGTCCATGATTCCTGAAGTCTAAGTCTTCTGAAGTTGTACTATAGCTTTTTGTGAGAAATGCACACTATTCACTGATAGTCTAGACCTCCAGTGAGCAGTTCACCACTGAATGATTTGACAAAAGAATGATTTGTTCACAAATTAGACATCCCTGCTTCTCTCATGAATGGACCAGTGAGAGACTCAATACATTCAATGCCAAATTCAAATTTGAGCCGTTTCTCACACAAAACTTTTGAATGGTTTCAGATTGTAGCACATGAGAAACCCTTTTAAGATAGTGCCATTGCATCCAATCTAAAGCTAAAAATCATTAATACCTATTTATTGAAATTCTTTGGAAACATTATTCAGATGTTCTCCTTTTGTGAAAAAATATAGATTTGGAACAACAAAAAGAAGGTGAGTTAACAATGATGACAGTTTTAAACGTTTGCTTAAATAGCGGCCTTTTTAACCAAATAAGCGTTAGCCATTTTGCAAAACATGTCTTTCCAAGTTAATACTTTTCAGTTCTCCATCAATAAGATCTGAAGGGCTCAGAGTGGAATTTTGCTTTGTCTATATCTGAAGAGGCCGCTGCATTACTAGAGGAGTTAGAGGCACAAGAGATCACCCATCTGTTAAAGATTAGAAACAAGATGCCGTTTAGTGGCTTCAGTGGAATCACGAGACCGTGCCAACATTCACAAAATCACATGCAGATGTGTATAGCTTGCACACATTCTCCCCTTTTTAACGCCATTTTTTGGTCTTCTCTTCTTTACTCGAAGCTCATGTCCGACAGTCCATTCAGGACATTTCCTTGGATAGAAGCCCTCATGTCTTCCCCAAATCTCCAAGCTTCACTGTCCCAAGGAGTAATTATTTTAGTCAGACAAACCTTAAAGCATGTCATCAGCTCTTGTAACAGAGTTGGCTGAGGACAATGCAAACGTTTGAAACAACACGTATGCCTTTCCATCTCCTTTCGTCTGGTTGACTGCTTAGAAACAACAGGAAGCAGCAAGTGGTGCCGTTTCAAAGGTGAATGGCTGATATATAGTTTCCTAGGAATATGACTGCAGATAGTGTGAGTGACATAATTAGATCCTTGTGCTGACTGAGATATATTTGCTTTAAATGTTTTACGTGGTGAAATATTTCATTTTTTAATATTTCAGGGCACTGGGAAATATTTGTTGTTAAGAATCTATGTATTATTCATTTTGAACATGAATATGTAGTGGTTCATGTGCGTACAAGACTCAGTACAGTACAGTGCAGTAGTTTTTGGTTATAATTATTTTATTCATAATTCTTCATTCATTATTGAGTTACAGCTGTCATGTGTTGCGCTCTAATGTATTGTTCCCCTACAGTCAGAATAATCATGCAATCTTCACTACAGTAGAAGATGCCTGCTATGCAAACAAAGATTTTTCTGGGGTGCTGATATTTGACATAAAAGATTATGTGGCAGTAAAAAAAACTCTATATATGGTTTGTTCTGCAAGAAATGTTCATCCATTCATAAGTTGGCAGATTATAAAGACTTCCTTTCCACATATTCCTTAGAATAAAAACCAAAACACACAGCTGAGGGAATGTGGAGTCAGAATTCCCGAGGGACACATAGGCTAAGCGAGTCCCGACCTTAAAAGGTCCTCTGTTACCACAGATTTGGAGCTGCACATGCCACACTAGGGAAAATTGGTGCTGGTTGCCTCAGAGTTTTCCAGTGTGTGTGTGTGTTCATGTCTATATTTTTTATTGCATGTGTTTTAATGCATGTCAAGACTTTATTAGAACTTAAATGTTGACCGTTATTACTACTATGTGTTGTGTTATCCAACCTAACTTCCAGAATTGAAGAATTTGCTTCCTTTTAATTCATGAGGTAAAATTTGTAAAGAATTGGCCACACCCTACAAAGAGTTTATTGGAAATGATTGGATTAGAAATTTACTGAAATGCAATTCATCTGAGAAATTATGTTCTTCCACAAAGTTCTATTTGTCTATCATTATTAACAGTCTATCTGCTAGGGGTGGAACGGTACACAGAAGTCACGGTTTGGTTCATACCTCGGTTCAGACATCACGGTTCGGTACGATTTCGGTATAATGGAGGGAAAAGCAAAACAAAAATAAAGAAGGCATTGTATTTTTTAAATAAGCTTGATTAATAAAGGCATAGAACCAGTTTATATGAAGTGCATTGATAATAGTTTTATAT